TCAGGATTCAGGAATTACTAAAACTAGTTTAGACCAAGAGGTTTTTTTATGCTTTGGAATACAATGAAAACTATTCATGAGTAACCACTATACAATTGTTGTTGAAACTGAAACTGCGTTTGTTAGGTAGATTAATTTAAATAATTTTCATGCTGAAAGTTTTAAATTCTATCTCCCTAACAACTTCTCTTTTACAGTATAACATTTTTTCCAGGTTTAAGCTATTTTTCATTAAAGAATTTAGTTTTCTGAGCAGTGTATAGGGAATTAGAGGAGATACAGTTCCTGTCAGCAACAACTATACTTCTTAATAGTAAATATTTCATTGGCATGTTTTGCAAAAAATAGCCACCAGATACTAACCATAACTCCATAAGCCTCAAAGAAAAGGACAGTCTATCTTTTCCATTCATGACTGGTTGGTATAATTATATAAAGAATTAAGGTAAAAATGCATCATAAAAGGGCAGGGAAACATATTGATCAAAATATAGGGACAAAATTTGTCAGTCACCTTTCCTAGTAAAGATGAATTCTTCTAAACATTTTTATCTACTTAATATATGACTTATCTAAAGCACTCTTGATTTGATAACCATAAATATTTTAAGTTCATTATGGGGACTGTTTGAGACAACAAGAAATTTAATTGTTTGTAGTTTTTTCTAAGTTGATAGAGTAGAAAAAAAAAAGAACTTCAGCTTTTAAAACTGAAGAGACCCCATGGAGTTGTGATGGAGCAAGGATCCCATGGAGCTAGTGATGCCAGCTTGTATGCTACATTTGTCACCTTCTCATAATTTCACAGTAGCTAGGGTCAGGAGGGACCTGAACAGATCATCTAACCTGACCCCCGGCCACAGGTAGGAATGAATGCTGGGTTCACAAGACCCCAGACAGGTGATCATCCAACCTCCTCTTGAATTTGCCCAAGGTAGGGGCGAGGACCACTTCCCTGGGAAGTTGGTTCTCTTTCAACTGTTCCCTCAGTTTACTCCCTCTATGTACCATTTTCTCTCAATATGGAATATCCGTCCTGAGCTAAAATACAAGGTTACTGCTCCCTTCTCATTCAAATCTCTTCCTAAGACAAATTTCAGCCATGATGCATGCAAGAATGGTACATATGCAATATAACAAAATACATTTTTTGTGCCGCAATGAGCACTGGCCTGTTTTGAATAACCATGCAATCTTTGTGATGTACCCCAGGGGTGCTCAAACCCCAGCCTAAGGGCCAGAACTAGCCCCTAGAGCTGTATCATCTGGTCCATGGGGCTCCCAACGGGTCCAAAAATTTGGTGACAAGGGAACAGTAGCAGCATTAATTTCTGCTTCCATGCTGCCAAATTTCCAGACCCATGGGGAGAACCAGGGACTGGATAGTGTGGCCCTGCACAGTAGATCAGGTGCACAGGGCCAGCTAAGGCAGTGCAGGGCCCAAACCACACAAGCAGGGATGGGCCGAGGAAGCACAGGGTCTGATCTAGGCATACAGGGACTGATTTACTCCACAAACCAGCTCTGCACCACTCATCTAACCTGCAGGGCCAAAAGGCTGAGCACTACCAATGTATGCTGTCTTCTATGACTATGTTCTGTCTTCTTTTTCCCTTACTATTGCTTTGTTAGCGCATCATTTGTCAAGTTTAAATTTTAGTGGAGTAAATTTCATGTCTCTCTCACATCTCTCTACCACATTGCTATTTAGCATGCCTATCTAGATATCTAACTAGATATCAATCATATATAGCATATAAGACAGAAACAGATAAGTAATATTCAGGTTAACTTGCTTCAATTCTTTTCACTATATTACATGTCATGTGAAACAATACGTTGTGGGCATGTCTACATGAGACACTGACTGTCCAGTCATTACTGCCCAGTCATTTAGTACTTGTATAAACTACTGCACAGTAGTGTTATGTCATGGTTTTTGCCATGCAAGGCTACTGTGCAGTAGTATCAGGCTACTGAGCAGTCAGCATCTTGTGTAGATGCAGCTGGTGTGCATCTAAAACCCAAGAACTTGGATTCACTTATTAACATGCCTTAAGACCACCATCTGTCATTATTTATTTATTATGCGATGTTAATTAGCTAATCACAATCCACTCTTCAGTGCAGCAGTAAAAAACAACAAGATTAAAATAGATGACGCTTAAACAAGTATGGTAAAAAAGCTATAAACAAATATACTATTTTGGCATTTAACCGTGATAACAGAACTCAACAGTTTCTCTACAGTTTCAACAAAAGCAATCAGAACACTGCTGGGAAGATTAGTCTCCTAGCCTTTTGACCATGTCACCCTTCTCTTTGCCCTTCTCTACTAGCTCCTTTTTCTCTGTCAGACACATAAGCTTTTCAGCCTTCAATTACAAGGCCCTTCATGGCTAAAAAACACTCTATATAGCATTGCTCATTCACTACTGAGATGTCAAAACTCCAGTCACAAATGGGCCAGAAATGCCAACCTCTATAACCTTCCTGTTACGTTTTCAAACAAGCAGCTTTGTGTTTCTCCCATCCTACTGTTTATATTTGAGTTCCCTGTAAACACCTTCTGTAAACACCCTCTTAAAATACTCCCTAAAACTCTCCTTGGCAATGATGCCTCCCAAAAGGGCTGAGAATATCTGGGTTCCTGCTTTTCAGATAATAATGTTCATCATGCCAATTAATATTTTTTATCATTTCCTTATATTTCATTTATGCATTTGTGCTCTCTTGCCCTGTACATAGATTATAAACACTTTGGAGCAGAGATTGTCTTTTGATTCTGTGTTTGTGCAGCATGAAGCACAAAAAGATCCTGGTTCACGACCCCATGAACCAATACAGCAATATAGACACTACAGTAACCTAAGTAAAAAACAGAAGAAAACAAAGCTGCAGACTGTAAAGTGACAGCAACTCCTTTTGAATAAGTGTGCCTATTCAACCACTCCCCCAGCTCTGCTACACAAGGGCACTTGGGTTGGGTTTTAGGAATCTGTGCCTGATCCTGTTTTTCTGTAAAATTCCATTAGGTCTATGTTGTCTTCTAGAGTTTATAACTTGGTTTCTGACAGTAGCACTAAAGGCAAAGCCAAACTCCAGCCAGTTCCACTTGTACAGGAACAGGGCCTGAAACAGAAACCTGGGACACACTTTACTGTAACCTACATCTTTGACGTTCCTTGCCACCGAGCAGAGCAAAAAAAAAAACGCCAGAAAAATCTAGGGAAAAAAACTGTGTAAGACCTTGAGCACTGATTTTTGTTCCCATGGAAAACATTTAAAGGATGTTTCAGAATCTGTCCCACTGGGAAGGGCTGTTTGTAATTAACATGTTGAGTTAACTGACTGGGTCCAATGCAAGGACAGAATGCACACACAGTAACTGAAGTGCTAGTTTGAGACTTTTTTGTATAAAATGGTGACTTTCCTCCACCGTGCAAGGTCTGTGCAGCATGTCTGGTGTCTGCAGAGTTCCTTCCATGCACTCCATGTCCATATCAGGATAACAGTGTGAGGTGAGAGAGGCCGCACAGCCTGCATGGAGCTGCTTATTCTCCCTACTGTGAAGATGGAAAGAGTTCTGGCTTCCTTTTTCCTCCAGCAATCCAGCTAGCACAGCTGAACTGCCTGCTTGGGGAAGTAACTGGGCTAAGCATAAAGCTTACACAGATTACTTAGTCTTCTAAGTAAAAATCTGGCTCTCAGTCTGCACCTGGAACTGTGCAACTACATCCTGCTCCTTGTTTAGGGCTTATGACAAAGACAATACCAACATTCTGAGTTTTAGAGCTTGGGAGGCAGTAAGCAAGAAGAAAAACATGCAAAAAAAAAAAAAAAAAAAAAAGCATTCATTTTGTATGGTCTTTGATAAATTAGCCTTTCAAGGATCTCTTATCCTATAAATACCAAACAACAAAACTGCATAAAAAGTTGCATCGTTTCATATAGATAGTGTTTGCTCATATAGGAAAGCTAATCCCATCCTTCCCCTCATGTTTTATTACTGGACAGGCAAATATCACCCAGAGATAATCCATGTTAAAAGCACATGCTGTCACTCAATGAACCAGTGTGCTGGAACTGATAAATGTCTTATAAACAAAGAATGTGTCTTAGGCCAGATCCCAAACAAACCCTCTACACTATTTGCCTGGAATGTGTTCCTATATGCATCATCCTAAACTCCTAAATACATAACTAAGATTCTTTACGTTCAAGTTGTGACACACAATATATAGTCAAATATACTATCCATTTCAGTTTATTCAAATCTGTCAGACTCATATCAAGATTCATGTTGTCAACTTTTTCTTGAGCCTTATTCCTGAATGGTCTTGGTTCCTCTAGTGGCACATATCGTAAAGCATTTGTCTGAAATTCACAGAGCAACACTTCATAGATCTAAAACAAGTAATTTAGTTAGTAATAAAATTAAGGAAGAATGATTTATTTATACAAGTAAAACTATACACATTTTACCTTTAAAACCTGCTACCATCACACACAGGCGAACAAGCCTGTGTGAAAAGTCACATGTGTAATGTAAAGATGATATCATCCAATTCAACTCAGACTGCTAATTCTACATTGTAAATACCTGTTTTATAAAACCAACTGACTGAGTAGTCAGTATTTTTTTTAAATCAGGCACTCAGAAAGCTGGGAACCTACTATCTGAATATACCATCCACTTTTTTTTAATCTACCCATTTTTGTTTAGCCTAGGATAGCAGAGTTAAGGTAGAAATAGCCACTCTATTCTAATAATAGTTCATAAAAGGACAGCTGATGAAGCTGTGTGGTAAATCAGCTGCTGTTGCCTTAGTCACAGGAATATTACTCAACATGAGTATGACCAACTAGTTCAGGCCTCACATGTCAAAGATAAATTAAAATGATTCAAAATATTTACACACCTAGGTAGAAAAAATTACCAAAAAACTATGAAAGATAAAATGTAAATTTAAAATAAATTTACAAAACCACACACGCACCGAATTTTCTTCTTCTTCTTCCAGTTCCCTCTGCTGTTCCTCATGTCGTTTTGCCTTGATCTCCATAGCTTCTGTGATCAGGTCTCTCAAAATTGAGACTGGCTTGGCATTCTTAATAAATGTGTGCTAGAAAACCGAGATATTATACAATATGAATATATTATACTCTTCAGCTACAGGATAATTAAAAGTAACAGATGTTAAAAGTAACAGGTCATTCAACATCACAGACTTCAGTGATAAATACTTTTCACATCTCACAGTAATTAAAATCGAGGTTAAGGGAACAGACAACCTCTTTTAGTTGCTTTGCAACTAATAAGATTTTCCTTTTTTTATTTACTTGAGTTTTTTAAACATCATCCATGGGAAAATGTAACCATATAACACAACTGCTTTATAGTTAAGGGTATAATTGTCCAAAGGAAATGTGCATTAGGTTGTAAATAAACAGTGGTGATTGTCTGACATAGAAAAACAAACTTTTTCAGATATTCAGTTACAACATTTAATTAATCTTAACAAAATGACAGCATAAATTAGTGGTCAGAAGCAGAGCAACTATTGCTGTTACTTACTTCAAGAAATCTGTATTTTAATATGTCATGAATCATTTAATCATCTGCAATGCTAGAATTTGAAACAAGCAAAAAAAAGCAGAACTACATTTTAGCTGGCCGGTTTAAAATAAAACCTAAAACCATTTAAAATATCATTTACCTGTTTCTTACAATTCAGTGTATGCATGTTGCTCTCAATTAAACACCTGCTGTCAGAAAATTCTGACTTATCTATTAAGAGTTTCTATGAAATTTCTAATAAATCTATCTTCAATTCAGAGACTGGCAAAGGAATAAATTATTACCCTAAATGAAAAATGATGATGTTAAAAAATGATCACTTGCAGGCAGAGTTTCAGCCTGCAAGGGGCTGCTTGGGGTTGGCGGGGAGTGCAATGGGAGGTAGGGGGCACCACATGCATGTGCACACGCACACATGCATGTGGCAGCCAGGCAGCATGGAGAACAGCTCCTACAGCTCCCTCCAGGTAAATCTATGTGGGGAGGTGGTGGAGGGGAGCAGACTGAGGCCCCCATGGTGAGGGAGGCAGTAGAGTAGAGTAGGGTAGGACAGGACAGAGCTGGGGCTAGGGGCACTGCCCAGCTGGGGCAGTGTGTGGCCAGGGCAGGAATGTGCGGCCACAAGGCCTGGCCAGGGAGCAGGATGGAGTCACAGAGGGTTCATCTGGGGGTGAGGGGTGGGGGGGTTGGCTCCCCACCACATGCACTCCTGGGGAGGAATGAATGGGGGAGCAAATCACCCCCAGATTTGTGCACAGGGCAGAGACAGATGTGAACTGCCCGCTGCGGGCTCAGGGCTCCCCACCCTACTGCCCTTCCCCCAGAGACTTCCGCAGCAGAGCGGGGCGGGAAGGCTCAGTGCCACTGCCAGGAGCCCCACGCTGGCCGCACTGCCATACAGAGGCACCCCTATGCCTGCCTGGTAGCAGCGGGGAGCATAACTCCATGCCATTGCTGCTGCTGGGCAGGTAGGGGGTATCTCGCCAAAGCGGCATGGCCAGTGTAGGGCTCCCAGCAGTGGCACCAAGCCTTCCTGCCCGCTGGTGCTGCGTCCCGGCTGCTGGGCCGTGGAGGCCCCAGGGGGAGGGCAGCAGGGTGGGGAACCCCAAGCCCACAGCATACAGCCCGTATCCATGCCCCACCATGGGCTCCACTCTGGCTGTGCTGCCCACAGGGTGGGGGGGAAAAGAAGCTAGGCTCTGTGCTCCTGTCCTCTCCTGTGGGCAGCAGCTGGGGCTCGGGCACTGCTGGGTGGGGGGCAAGAGTCTGTGGGCCCTGGTCCTGTAGCCCTGGCAGCTGGGGGCCCCCTGAGCTGTGGGGTTCAGCCCACATAACACATTGAGAGCTGTGAGTTGTGGCCCACTACAACAAATAGGTTGAGAACTACTGCTTAGAGTATTAGTGTTAAAATTAATTCCTTTCAACAATGCCCTCTGTGGGCTCGAGGGCTCCCTGCCCTGCTGCCCTCTCCCCGAGAAACAATGATTTTGTTTTTCTTCTCAAATTTGCCGCAGCAATTGCTGGCTCTCCCTGAGGCACTGCAGGCAATTTCAGTGAAACAACTTTATTATTTTACAGACCCCAAACCCTAATGTATAAAATATAAAATAGCAAACATTTTTCGTCCACTCTAACTGCCTGGCAGATTCTAAGGGCTTCCATCTGATATCAGATGCTTCAATGCAGAATAGATACATAAATAAATCTTTGCTGAGTCTCTCTGTGGTAAAATCAGGTCTATCCGATCTAGAAGTACGATAGGGATTGCAGCATTCCTCTCAAAGAGGAGGAATATGGACATATAAGATCCTATAGGGAAATTACAGGAACACTCTTGTTACTAGGTCAAGTCCATTTGCCAATGTCACCCGTGTGAGACACACGTCTGGCAGAGCTCTGAAGACAGAGTAAGATTGAGATAATTTTCCATGGTCCTATAGGCCATCAATCTCCCTTTAATTTAACGGGACTAAAACAAACATTAAACCATTCAGACATGCCTGGAATCCAGGCAACTTCAAGCAATGCTACCTTTAACATTAGCAAGACTACTGCCTCTTTTTGACCCTACTGTCAGTTATCTGTCACAGCTTATATTCTTCTCACACCATTAGACAAAAGTGTGTAAGACTAAGGTGTAAGTGGATGGGCCTTGTGTGTTTAACTGACAAAACAAGAGCTAGTGCAAAGAAATAGTATAGGTGTTTACTATGAAGAACCATACCTAAAAATGATTTAACTTTGGGGATTGGTAAAAGAAACCTACAAAAGAGGTACAGAAGCTAGTGTACAAATGGACACTTAGCAGGAAAGGGAGAAGAGATAAAAAAGACAATGAGGCCATAACAGGATTTATCCCTGGTTCCTACAGGTTTACAAAGATCCGCCTCGCTCAACAAAAGCGGAGAGGTGGCATTTCTGTAGGAGCTTCAATACCAACCTGTAGGAGTTGTGTTGCAGTAGCTCTCTGCTCCGGATTCTTCACTAAACATTTCTTCACAAAATCAGTGAACTCATCAGACCACAGCTCCGGCTTCCGGAATGTTGGAGGTGGATTTGTGGGAATCATAAAAATAGCCTAGTATTTAAAAAATGGAGGACACATTTTAACTAGTATAAGATTTCCAGCATGAGTGAAATTCAGGAAATAAATCCATCTGTTACTAATGTACATATTTCCCATTAGATTACCTCTACTTAAACTGTACCCCATTGAGCACATCATTCTTTATTTTATCTATTACTGTTTATCAGTCTCAAGAGAAGATTTTGTTCTTTCTGAAAAACTTGGCAGAAGTAAGGGTATTTTCTGGTTAAATAGACATATCTAAAAATGCTGCCGATTGAAAGTCAAATCCACTTGTCACATCTTAACTTAATTTCAATTTTATAAAACAATTGCTAGAGGTTAGTAAGAGTCTGATTTGCTTCTGCATGGTTACATACTCAGGTGTAACTTAAAGCTATATTTATGCCAATGAGATTGAAAATTAACTCTAAAAATCTTTAACAAGAGGCTGAACACTACTAACAAAGGTCTTTTAGATATTACAAAAATGGCAGTATTTTCCTCTTTGTACTACTTTGCTGAAAACCACATAGAGAAATTCTCCAGGAAGGAAAAAAAATCACAGTATATAATTCACAGATTGACTGGAAGGGACTGGAAGGGACCTCACAAGATCATAGGGCCCAGCCGCCCCACTCTAGGCAAGAAAACAACTGAGGTCTGGTGACACCAGCGAGGTGACCGTCCAATCTCCTCTTGAAGATTTCCAGGGTAGGTGACTGCACCACCACTGGAGGGAGCCTATTCCACAGTCTGGACACCCTGACTGTGAAGAAGTTTTTCCTAGTGTCAAGCCTGATACAGTCTTCCAGGAGTTTGTGGCCATTACTCCTAGTTTTCCCCACAGATGCCCTGGTGAACAGTTGTTTGCTGAGCCCTTGATGTATTCCCTTAATATAGTGGTAAGCTGCTCCCAAGTCCCCTCTCGGCCTTCTCTTTTTTAGGCTGAAGAGACCCAAGTCCCTCAGCCTTTCCTCGTATGGCTTGCCTTGCAAGTCTCTGATCATATGGATGGCTCTTGTCTGGGCACTCTCAAGCTTTTCCACGTCCCTGTTGAATTGCGGCACCCAGAACTGGATGCAAGACTGCAGCTGTGGTCTCACCAATGATGAGTAAAGTGGGTGAATCACTTCTTTGGTTTTGTTTGAGATGCATCAGTTAATGCATGCCAGAGTATTGTTTGCCCTGCTGGCTACAGCATTGCACTAATGGCTTGTGCTCATACTATGGTCTACTATGGTCTATCATTACCCTGAGTCCTTTTCAGTTGTGGTGCTAGTCAGTTTGGTAACACCAAGCCTGTAAGTATGTTGCAGATGGAGCACTTTACACTTCTCAGTGTTGAACTTCATCTGGCTCTGATCCACCCAACTTGCCAGCCTGTCTAGGTCCACCTGTATCTGCAGCCTATTTTTAAGTGTGACCACACTCCCCCATAACTTGGTGTTGTCTACAAACTTGGCCAGGGAGCTCTTCACCCCCACATCCAAATCATTGATAAAGATGTTGAAAAGCACTGGACTAAGCACGGACCCCTGAGGGACACCACTGGCATCTCACCCGGAAAACATCTATGAATCTATGAGAACTCTCTGGGTCCTACCCCACAGTCAGCTCCCTACCCACCTAACTGTTGAGCAGTTAAGCCCACAATCCTCCAATTTTCCCATGAGAACATCATGGGATACCAGATCAAAGATCATATTCCAAAACTGTGTCCATTTAAGTCAATGAGAAATATGTCATTATTTTTCATGGCATCTTATTTTAGCCTAACTGAGGACGAAAAATGAGGGATAATGCAGGGGTGGGCAAAATGGTAGATACAGCCAGCAGACGGACTCCATTTCCCAGCAGCCCCTGCCTGAGTTGCTCCAGCGGGTCTCCATGGAGACCCCAGGAGTGGCAGGGCTGTGACAGCATAGGGCCAGTGTCTCCATGGAGACCAGCCTGAGAGGCTTGTTGGCAGGGTGCACGACTGGGTGGGGGGGCTGCTCTGGGGCCTGGGTCAGAGCTGAGGCCAGGATCTTGCAGCAATGACAGTGCAGGCCAGAGCCAGGGCAGAGCCATGATCCACTGCCTGCAAACCCCTGGGGCACCAGATCACGGCTCTGCCCGGGCTTCAGCCTGCACTGTCACTACTGCAAGATCCCGGACCCAGCCCTGGAGCAGCCCTGGATCCCCACCCAGCCACATAACCTGCAGCTCAGGCTGGTCTCCATGGAGACGCTGGCCCCCTTCTGCCCCGCTACTCCAAGGATCTCCATAGAGACCTGCCAGAATGACACAGGCAGAGGCTGATGGGAAATGGAGTCCACTGCAGGCCTAATCCAGTCCACAGGCCAGACTTTGTCCACCCCTAGGATAATGCCAGCCTTCCCAAATATCAAGTGTGAAATATAAGCCAAATAAGTAACAGGAATAAACAAGTTTTTAACCAATGAACTACCACATGATAGAAATACACATTTCATCAGTTGCTTCGTAAGATTATTATTTTTCCCAAAGAGAAAGCATGAAAGTAACAAAAACACATGGCTTACTCATTCTCCCCTTCATTTTTTCCTACATTCTACAATGCAAAACTAACAAAAATATAAGGTTATAATCTGAAGCATTGAAAGAGACAGAGACATTAATTTAAAATTTGCCCCATAACCTGTGAACATATTTTGACTGCCTATTGAACTGAGTTGTATTGTTCAAAAACCCCTCTCTAAAATTATGAAAGTTGAATAACGTAAAACCTGTTTATTATAATTTTCATTAAACATTTTTAGAGCCACATAATCTATTTCAATTCAAATACTTTCTTTTTTCTATAAATTTGTTCCTACAGTAATATCCATTACGTAGGAAGGGAGGTAAGGGCGCAAAAAAGCCCCCTTGGCTGAACAGGGAACTCTACGAGAGTCTGGGGGCAAAGAAAGAGATGTATAGGCAATGGAAGCAGGGAGCAGCCACCAAGGAGGAGTATATATCTCCCTGGCGCGCTATTGCAGGGAATCAGCTAGACAGGCCAAGGTGGGGCTTGAGCTCAGGCTGGTTTCAACAATCAAGGACAATAAAAAGTCCTTCTTCAGGTATATAGCAGGCAAAAGGAAATCTCAGAGCAACATAGGGCCCCTGCAGGACAAATCAGAACAGTTGGTGGTTGACGTGGGGAAAAAAGCAGAGCTCTTCAATGAGTTCTTTGCTCCAGTATTTCTAAGTACCGACCAAGCCAATTCCCTCACCTCAATCATTGATGGATGTCCACGTGGCACCAGTCCACCTACGGTTAGTTCTGAAATAGTTAAGGAGCTCCTGGAGGAGCTGGATAGGTACAAGTCAAGAGGCCCGGATGACCTCCATCTGCGGCTGCTGAAAGAATTGGCCAGTGTCATAGCTGAGCTGCTGGCACAGGTGTTCAAGCACTCATGGTGCTCCGGCCAGGTCCCTGAGGACTGGAGAAGGGCCAATGAGGTACCCATTTTCAAGAAAGGGAGAAGGGATGAGCCAGGTAACTTTAGACCAGTCAGTCTTACCTCTATTCCTGGGAAAATGCTAGAGAAAATAATCAAAGAACACATTTGTGCAGGCCCAGCAGGGGAAACAATGCTGAGGGGAAACAGCATGGGTTTGTCACAGGTAGATCCTGCCTGACAAACCTTGTAGCCTTCTATGACCAGATCACACACTGCCTGGATGTGGGAGCCGAGGCTAATGCCATCTTCCTGGACTTTAGGAAGGCCTTCAACACAGTTTTGCACCCTATCCTCATTGGGAAGCTAGCAGACTGTGGAGTGGA